TACCCTATAAGTTTTTGTTTTCTTTTGCTTTTTTGCAATTTTAATTTTTATTCATTTTACAAACCAGTCTCCCCCCTCTTCTCCCCATCCCACCTTCCCTCTCTGTTTCTCCATTCCTCCTCCCCACCCCTGTGCATCCACCCCAGGATGTCAAGTCCCATCTGAGCTGAGCACATCCTCTTCCCCTTGGCCTGGTAGCCCTGCAAGGGGGGAGTGATCAAAGAACAGGCAACAGAGTCCATGTCAGAGTCAGCCCCTATTTTCCTAACTAGAGGACCCACACAAGGACAGAGCTGCGTGTCTGCTACATCTAGGTCTCGTCCATGCATGGTCATTGGTTGGTGCTTTAGTTTCCACAGCCCCACTCCCCAGGCCATGATTAGTTGGCCTGTTGCTTTTGTGGAGCTCCTGTGCCCTCTGGGTCCTTCTATCCTTACCCCGACTCTTCTACAAGACTCTCTTGTGCTCCACCCAATGTTTGGCTGTGAGTCTCTGCATCTGGGTGCAGCCACTCAGAGGACAGCTGTGATAGGCTCCCATCTACAGGCATAGCAGAATATCATTAAGGGGTTGGCTGTCTCCCATGGGTTGAGTCTCAGGTTGGGCTAGTCATTGGTTAGCACAGGAGACAACTTCCTAAACAGAACACCAACAGCTCAGGCTCTAAGATCAACAGTCGATAAATGGGACCTCATGAAATTAAAAACCTCTAAAGTGAAGGACACTGTCAATAGAACAAAATGACAGCCTATAGATTGAGAAAAGATCTTCACCAACCCTATGCCTGACAGAGGGCTAATATCCAAAATATATAATGAACTCAAGAAATTAGACACCAACAAACCAAATAATCCAATTAAAAATTGGGGCACAGAGCTAAACAGAATTATCAACAGAAGAATATCGAAAGCCCGAGAAGCACCTAAAGAAATGTTCAGTGTTCTTAGTCATCAGGGGAAGGTAAATCAAAATGACTCAGGTTCCATCTTATACCTATCAGAATGACTAAGATCAAAAACTCAAGTGAAAACACATGCAAGGATGTGTAGCAACAGGAACCCTCCTCCATTGTTGATGGGAGTGCAAACTTGTACAACCACTCTGGAAATCAATCTAGCACAATCTCAGAAAATTTGGAATAGCTCCACCTCAAGACCTAGCCATGCCACTCCTGGACATATACCCAAAAGATGCTCCACCATACAACAAGGACACTTGCTCAGCTGTGTTCATAGCATCTTTATTCATAATAGCCAGAATCTGGAAACAACCTAGATGTCCCTCAACCAAAGAATGGATAAAGAAATTCTGGGACATTTACACAATGGAATACTACTCAGCTATTAAAAACAAGGTAATCATGTAATTTGCAGGTTTTTGTTTTCTTAAACAACTAAGTCCCTGAACTTGGGTGCACACTGAACCACATTTATTTAGTAATTGCAATATTCATAGTAATTGGATCAACAAAATTATTCACAGGCTGCATATGCTGTGGTTTGTTTATGTGTCTGTGCTTGTGTAAGCCACATGTATGTGGGTGCCTGCAGAGGCCTGGAGAGGCACTGGACATCCTGGACTGGAGTTATCAGATGGCTGTGAGCTCCCAAACTCAGGTCCTCTGGAATAGTAGGAAGCACTCTTTTAACAGCTGAGTCATCTTTCCACTCTTCACATAGTTTTTTTAATATGTGGATATTTTACAGTATTTATTGGTAATATATTGACTTTACTAAGCTTGGTTCAGTCTTCCAACACTAATAACCAAATATATTTAAAAATCATAATTCAAATGATATACATAATTTTGAAGAAGTAAATTAATATCATGTATTCAGTATATACAATATCTTGTTTAATTACTTATACATTTCCCATTGCCATGTATTTGGAGGAGTATCAGTGTGTGTATGTGTGTGTATAAATATGCGTGTATTTGTTGTTTGATTTGTTTTGTTTTTATTTATTTTTTTGTATTTTGTCTTTTCAAGACAGGCTTTTACTGTGTAGCCCTGGCTGTCCTGAAACTAGCTTTGTAGACCAAGCTGGCCTCAAACTCACAGAGATCTGCTGCCTCTGCCTCCAGAGTGCTAAGATTAAAGGCATGCGCCACCACTGTCCAGCTCCATTAACTACAAAATTGTTAATTAACATCTGAAATGGATTATTTCATGAACACATTCCTAGAACCAGATCATTCAGGTTTGTGGCAGCTTTGTGAGAGAGCACTGAAGAAGGATAGGTGTTAGCAGATTGGGAAAACATTAATGAAAAAGGAGACATGAGAGGCCGGACGGGAATGGGGGCACAAGGAAAGCAGTCCAGAAGCAAGGGGCAAAATGGATATGCTCTCAAGACCATTCCTCAGACACAAGCCACTTGCTTCACTTTTAACCCCAGTGTTCAACTCCATTAGATTTCTAAGAGGTTCACATCATTTAAAGCTTTTGCTGCAGAACCTTTAGCCAACTAATCAATCCATTTTATTTTTATTTTAGATACTGAGTTAAAAATAGGTTTATTAAGCCAGGTTGTAGTGGTGCACACCTTTAATCCCAGCACTCAGGAGGTAGGGGTAGGTGAGTTTGAGGCCAGCTTGGTCAAAGGTTATCTCTTAAAATTACTTTCTCTTAATCTATTTTATGTGTAGCAGAAATATACCACAAAGCAAGTGAGATAAAGACCACTAAAATGTCATGACTACAGGTGAATACTGGGAAACAGTCCCTTCTTGGTTTGATGATCTATCGCTATGTTGGCTATTTTTCCTTGGCCTCCTTTTATGTTATAGATAAGTATCCCACAATCCACCCTTTCACTGTAATGACCCACAATGTCTTAGGAAGCTGCTTGTGGTCTTTTGAATGAGAACTATCCTCCATAGGCTTATGCATTGAGCACTCAGTCCCTAGTTGATGGCATTGTCTGGGAAATTTTTAGAACTTTTTGGATGAAAAAGGGCCATGAAAAATTCTATTCTTGCTAGAAGTATGGCACTGGGGATATACTTTAAGATATAGATATAGATATATCTATCTATCTATCTATCTATCTATCTATCTATATATATATATAGATATAGATAGATATAGATATAGATAGATATAGATATAGATAGATATAGATATATAGATATAGATATAGATATACAGATATATATATAGATACATATATATATGCTTTAATATCCTACTGGGTAAAATCTTTCAGAGGCCACCTGTGGTATGCTCCTGTCCTGTTCCCTGTTTTCTCCATCTTTCGAGGTCTATCCCGTTTGCCTTTCTGAATGAGAATTGAACATCTTACCCAGGGTTCTCCTTCTTAGCTTCTTTAGGGGTACAGACTCCACCCAGCAGAGAATTAAAGCAGATGCTGAGGCTCATAACCAAACTTTGGACAGAGTGCGGGGAATCTTATGAAAAAAGGGGGAGATGAAAGACCTGGAGGGGACAGGAGCTCTACAAGGAGAGCAACAGAACCAAAAAATCTGGGCACAGGGGCCTTTTCTGAGACTGATACTCCAATCAAGGACCATGCATGGAGATTTATCTAGAACCTCCATGCATGGAGGTTCTAGATAACCTAGAACCCCTGCACAGATGTAGCCCATGGCAGCTCAGTCCCCAAGTAAGGGGAACAGGGGCAGTCTCTGACATGAACTCAGAGGCTGGCTCTTTGATCACCTCCCCCTGAGCAGGGTGTGGGGGAGCAGCCTTACCAGGCCACAGAGGAAGACAACGTAGCCATTCCTGATGAGACCTGATAGGCTAGGGTCAGATGGAAGGGGAGGAGGACCTTATCAGTGGACTGGGGAAGGAGCATAGGAGGAGAAGAGGGAGAGAGGGTGAGATTTGGGAGGCAACAAGGGAGGGAGCTACAGCTGGGATACAAAGTGAATAAATAAAAAATTTTAAAAATTAAAAAGAATTTATATATGGCCCTGCCCTTTTTGCTATTCTTTCTGCTTCCTGTGTAGGCTGAATGTGATCTGTCAGCTTCGCCTTCCCACAATTGTGGACCCATAGTTTACAGTTCTCTGGACGTGTAAGCCAGAACAAACCCTTCCATAAGGTGTTCTTGGTCATGGTGTTTCATCCCACTAACAGAAAGGTAACTAATACACCTTCTTAATTTCACCTTGGCAGTTTTATTGGTTATTATCTTTTTATCCCACAGAATACATCCCTACATAGTAAGGCGATGTCCAGATCTTAATATAAACACAAGGGGATGGGAACAAAAGGCAGCTTACCGTCAGGCCTAAGAGCCATGTGCTTTTTAAACCAGCTCTGTGGTGCACAGCTTCCTGAGTCCTAGCAATCTTAAAGATGTGTGGCCACCACAGTTGGGGGGAGCAGACTCCCCTTGTCCCCAGGGACTGCAGTGCTGTGGCCAGGCACAGAACTATGTCCTGGCGAGGCTCTTCTTCGCAATGCCCAGCATTTCCTGAATATGTAGTGTGTAGCCTTCTAAGAACGGCTGTTTTCATTTTGAAATGAATCCTCTACCTTTTACTGCTGATAAGTGCCCCAAGGGGAATGCTGTAGCTTGTTTGGCCATTTATTACTGAAGGGCTTTTTGGTTTAAGTCATCTTTTTAATTTTTTTTTCATTTTTCTGTTTTATGTGTATGGCTGTTCTGTCTGCCTAGATGTCTGTATTCCTCATGTGCACAGTGCCAGTGCCAGTGGAAGCCAGAAGAAGACATTGGATCTCCTGGGCTTGGAGTTGCACATGGTTGCGAGCCACCATGTGGATGTTGGAACTCCAGCCTGAGTCCTGGAAGAACAGCCAGTGATCCACAAAGTCCATGGAGAACAGCTGAGCCATGTCTCCAGCCCCACTCTTCAATAATCTTGAGTAAAGTTTATTCTTATCCTTCTTCAGAGGCCCTGAGGTGGCGTTGCTAGTCTAGGTTACATAGGAAAGAGTTCTCTTGTATGGGAAGTGTATCCTAACATCATCCACAGCTTCAGCCTACATCCCAGAGTTGTACCAGCGATGTGTCCACTATTCTTGCTAGTTCTTGGTACTGTTAGTTCTCTGTTGCACATTTAGAAATGACAGCAGGTGTAGGTGGTGACATCTCTTTCAAGTTTGGGGTTTGCATCCGTTAGCCAGCAGTGGTATTTGTTTCTCTCTCTCTCTCTCACTTGCTCTTGCTCTCTCTTCTGAATTTTAAGTTTCCCCTTTAGCCTACTTTCTCTAAAAGCAAATTTCTAAATTTGTTCTTGGAAGCAAAAATGTTGAGAGTAAGTCTTACTTTTAGAAGACTAGAACACATGGATCAGGGACTGGTGAAGGGGCTGTCAGTGCCTTGTCTAGCTGCGAAGGTGAAAAAAAGAAGCCCCTAAAACAGCCCAAGAAGCAGGCCAAGGGGATGGAGGAGGAGGATAAGGCTTTCAAGCAGAAACAGAAAGAGGAGCAGAAGAAACTGGAGGAGCCAAAAGCCAAGGCCTTGGGGAAGGGGCCTCTGGCCACAGGTGGAATTAAGAAATCTGGCAAAAAGTAAGCTGTTCCTCATATCTGAGGTAAGGGTGACCCTCTTCCATTCCTATTTAACAGCTGGATCCCTGCCATAGCATCTTTGCCACCTACAGCTAGAATGAAGTGTTATCCTGGAGCCTACTGTACATTGTAATAAACTTTTGTAATAAAATAAATTAAAAAAAGAAGACCGGAGCACAAGTCTAATTCAATAAATATTTACTCTGAGGCAGTTAACATGTTAGGAGAATGACCACAGGGGACAGTACCTGCTATACAGGAATGTATTAAGATATATTGCACAGTATACAACCTTTTTGGTCACAGGAAGTTTAAAGGATGGCATGACAGGTGTTTAGAAAGGGCGTTTTAAGCAAAAGGACAAACCTGTAAGAGCAAAGCAACATGAGGTGGTAGGCAGGCTGGTGTCCTCGGTGGATGGAGAGCACAGAGGGCAGCCAAAGGCAACGGCTCAGTGCTTCTTCAGATTTGCCTGAAGAACAGTGCGGACTTCAAAGAGGGTTTTTGTTTGTTTGTTTGTTTAGGTTTGTTTGTTTTGCTGGAGAGAGACGAGGGGTTGAAGTGGTGATTCAGGTTGTCAGATGCCTCCACTACCATTTTACCGAGACTGTGAGTGGCAGGATGGATTGGTCTGAGGTAGCTGTGGACCAGCTATCTTCTAATAGACTGTCCAGTGCGACAAACGTGTGTGAAGTTAAGGGTTTATTAAGTTCTGAATTGTACAGTGCTATCATCCTAAAGAACAGCATGCAAATGCATGTTAGCTTTCTAAATTCAGGAAGCTTTGTAGACGACCAGGAATTAGAAGTGAAAATATTCCGTTTGGGAGCATATTGTTGGCCAGCAGTTGGGTCCTGATGGTTATTCTGCAGAGGTGGGTGAGTTCACATGGGTCTTTGTATCTTGTTGGAGGGATGTAGTCCAACCAGTTTTGAATAATTGGACGTCTTCCCAAGCTCAGCTGTGTCTGAAGAAAAGAGAAATCTGTTATTTCTAACAGTATTTGGTACTTTTATTTATTTTTTTTATTTCATTTAAATTCAGAAGGGAGATCATGAATTCATATAACCCTTACAACCTTTATCTATGCATGGTCCTTGATTGGGGTATCAGTCTCAGAAAAGACCCCTGTGCTCAGATTTTTTTGGTTATGTTGCTCTCCTTGTGGAGCTCCTGTCCCCTCCAGGTCTTTCTATCTCCCCCTTCTTTCATAAGATTCCCTGCACTCTGACCAAAGTTTGGCTTTGAGTCTCAGCATCTCCTTTGATACAAGCCTTTTTGTTTGTTTGTTTTACTTTATTGGCATTTTATTCCGATCTTATTTCCCTAGTGATAAAATAGTATGTGGGAAGGTACTAAGCAAAATTTAAGCCATGAGCAGGGAAGTTCTTCACATCAGATGGATCTTACTTCTGCTGTGTCTTCCAGAGACACTGCCAGCACAGCCACATGCAGGCATCATCTGGAAAGCCCAGAGGTACCAGTGCTCGGCTCCTCTGTCACATTCTGATTCTGTCGGGTTCAGAAACAGGTGATGTAAATCACACATGCTCCCCAGTTGGACCTAACCCATGTGGACTGCCAGGACCTTGAGGTCTTCTTAAAGTTTTAGGAAGCCATCTGCTTAAAGGTTCTGTTCTGGAGGTTAAATGCTAAGGAGAGGATATTGCTGCATTAAGAGTAATTTCGCTAGGGAGAGAGAACTACCACAAAACTGCCCTCTGACCACAGGCCTAGCCCCTTGGCACACATAATAGGAAAAGAAAGATAAACAAGACAAAACACTGTCCAGGCCTCTAGGCACTTATCCAGCTGTATTGTATATGCATATGTTCATTATTTATGCAATAAGTAACTGTTTAAAGAATGTCTTCTGCACATTCATCTGTGGTGTGCGCTTGGGATAAATACTAGGTCTGCAAAGTAGATGCTCTGTCTGTGCTGACTAGGGTGTGGTAGAGAGATGCGTCTAAATACAGCAGTGTGAGACGTGACAGAAACGCAAAGGTCACTAGCCCTTCAGTGTGAACTGACCCCGCCTCTCCTCACACAGCATTATTCTGCTGTAGTTTATGAACTGTTACTGTTTGGAGTCTGGATGTTAATGCCTTGCCTCACAGGTGACTTTGACCAATTCTATCCTAGTACTTCCTGTTCTCTAGTTTTACTTGGGGGATTTTAGGCTGGTCTAAAATTCATGTGTTCTGCAATAACCATGCAGGGCAGTGACTATGAAACAAAGATGTGAAAAGAAAAGAGGCATTAAAACAACTTAAGCATGTTCTCTTTTAAAAAAGAGTTGTCAGTTCTAATCAGAACAATTTATTTGCTTTACAACTGGCCCACACATTAGTATTTATTATCAAGGTGTTTAAAAACCAGCAAAGTTATGTCTCTTAAGAGTCTGTTTCTAAAGTTACACTTATGGAGACTAGAGAAACTATGGGCTTATTGTTAAACTGGCTGGTTAAGTTTATAGGACTTCTCTTTCCACAGATTCGTTAACCTCTTGCTGTTAATGGGCATGACACAGTTTGCTACCGCAATTTGTATTTCATTTTAAAGAATGAGCATCCCAACTTATGGGTGATATATGGGTGATTTTCTTCTCTAACATGGTCTAGTCCCAAAACCTTATTTAGGAGATATTTTGAGATATATTTTCAGTTGAATAAATATTTTATGTCTTTATATTTCTGTAATGCTTAAAATTGCTTTGGGATCTTGAATGGAAAAATCTATTTCTTGGTGTGTGATTGTATTTGTTGGGAGAAATGGAGCTGTCATTTTGAAATATTCTACTGGCAAGAAGACCTGTTAAAATTTAACTTATTTTGTTCTTAAAAGATAGAAATTTTAATACATAGTTTGTTATTGAAATATAACAATTTGCATCTATTTAACACTAAAATAAAGTTTAAATTTATCTTTTGAAGTTCATGGTAACAAAATCAACATTTGATGGACTAATTTTAGCTAATTTGGATTTTGCCTCATTTTTAATTACTGAGCATATGCACAATTAATTAGCCACTGGAAATAATGCATAAATTAAAAATACTTCACGTTTGCCCTCATTATTAGATCCTAACATTCACTAATGTTGGAATGTACCCCCCCAAAGTAATACTTCCCTCCCCATGGCACAAAGCTCTGCTCACCTCCCTACAGCAAGTGATGCTCTGCTTATCTTGCCCCAGGAGTGATGCTTGCTTCTCCTTCCCCCACCTCCCCAGGAGCAATGCTCTGCTTCCCCTCCTTCAGGAGCAGTGCTCTGCTCCCCCTCCCCCCCCCAGGAGCAGTGCTCCGCTCACCTCTATCTCCGTGACTGAGATTGAAGAAAGCACTCTGGAGCATAGCATTAAGCATGTCTTGGCGTCTTCCTGAATGTCAATCAACTCATGATCAACCATTATCCTCACTCTTGAAGGGTAGAGCAGTATCGTCAGAACAATATTGATGGGGTTTTTTTCTCTCTCTAGGATCCCATACTGCAGGAGAATCTTTAAGATATTGGACTGTCTTGTCTGAGCCACGTAGAGCAGCGGTGTGATGCCGCTCAGGGGGCTAGGGCAGTACACGGGTGTGAAGGTTCTGTGGGAAAAAGGCAGGGTGAGTGGTGTCACAAGCACAGTCAGTAACAGGAATGTTATAATATAATGTTAACTGCTATAACAATACAATAATATAATGTATAATAATGTCTATAATATCAACTGTTATAATAAGAAAATATATTAATAAGATATCATATCAATTGTTCACATGTGAGCACATGTAATTCATATTTACGTGTGCTGTCTTAAGAATCTGACATTGTAACTGCAGACCAAACTGAAGGAGGAACGGGAACTCCCACCAAGTGCTGGAGCCTCCTCCACATCTGTGAAAACAGGCACGGTACGGGTCTGCTGTCAGTTCCAGCAGCCCTCACCATGGTGTTGCCCACACTGGTGGGGTCACAGAGCTCACCAAGCTCCGGAAATACAAAAACGGAAATGAAAGAAAACCGATTTTCTAGCGCCTGTTTTTTAAAGATTGGACTCTTTTGTTATGTGTGTCTGTGTTCTGTGCGGGCGCCTGAGAGGCCAGGAGAGGGCTTTAGGCTGTCTGAAGGCGGCGTGGCAGGGCGGCAGGGCGGCAGGGCGGCAGGGTGGCAGGGTGGCGGTGGGACGTAGGAAGGGCAGGAGGTACGGTTAACTGCAGAGCCATCACTCCCGAGCCGTGGACTGGATTAATAGAAGTACTGATCAACTTGCTCTCCTTTTGTGTTTGTTCTTGATCGCATTAGACATGAGGTTGAATTGAGAGTGGAGATTCCATGAAAAAACAAGTATAAACACCTTAGTCCTAGTTTTCCATTTTAATACAATAAATTAAACTTTCATTTAATAACATAAGAAGTGTAAGTTATGGTTAGACATGTCTGAGGGCCTCAGGATAGAATTTTATTTTTCTCCTTCAAGAGTAAAGTGTAGCCCCGGAGAGGAAGGTCAGCCAGGGGCGTGCTTGCCATGGACACTGAGGGCCTGAACCCAGCCTTAGAACTGATGTTTAATAAATAAAAGCAGAGGTCTGGCAGAGTGTGCTTGTAAAGTTCGAGCTGTGGGGAGGGACATAGGAGGCCATGGGGGGCTCAGCCCCTGGCCAGATACACAGCTGCCTGACGAGTTCTGGGTTCAGTGAAAGATCCTGTTTCAAAGATGGCCACATTCAAGTTTGCCTGTGCGTCCCCTCACACACACAGAATCAGACACACACACATACACTCGCACACATATACACACGGACGCGCACACACACACACATGCACACACACAGAAAGATACTCACACACAGACACAAACAGACACACGCACACACACACAAAGACACAGACACAATTTTCATATGGCATGTGAAATTGTTTCATTTAGTACTTTTATTTTCCTTGCTAAAATAGTTACTATAAATGTAGAGAAAGTGGGGTCTCTAACCAAAACAGATCCCTAATTTTGAAAAGTA